ATTTTGGCCACTTTCTCAGTTATAATCTCATCTCACAAGTTGCCTCAAATGTCAGAGATTTTCCACTTTCCTCCCCGCGCCCCTGGAGCCTGTGGTTCTCGATACTTGCTTCCGAAACATTTTTGACTCGTTTGACTGTTTTCTACGTTTATATATTTCCTGGAGATTTTCAAATCTTTCAAAGACCTTTGAATGTTCTAGAAATTCATCGATATCAATAAAACATTCGACACACGTTTCATACGTGTCAGATGGAATTCTTATTTGACTGTTCCCTAGTCCCTGAGTCATTCAGCTATTTTCGTGCACCGGTCAGTATGAATAAAATGTCCCATCACTATCCTAGTCGCGACTGAGTGATGCGTCATCTGGAAAAGACAACACTGTTGCCAGACTTAGCGATTTTTGTATGCTTTAGCGACTTTTTTTCTCCACTTGTCCGCTGGCGATTTTCAGCAGCATTTTTTGGCTACATTGGTAATTCCATTAAAGTTCGCCTTTTTTTACACTTAAAGTCTTCTCAAGTGCCGAACGCAACTAGTGATTATGCGGCGCCCCAGCCAACATGTAATGGAAGTAGGAAGCTTTTACTGTGGTCATTTTTTTGTACCGAAGCAGCCGGGACTGTATGGCAGGCACATCACGCGACTGCATCATGGAAGAGAACTCTGAGGAGCAAAGCCCGTTGGTGTAGCGGTACAAGAGAACTTGATCGCCGACGGGCCGCCGGTGTAAAAGAGTCCCAAAACTGTTTGTTAGAGAAGAGTCATCGATCACTCGGTCAGCCCTTGTCTGGACAACATCGAGCATAGATAATGTAGTCGGGGCGGCTGCACCCCAACCGTGCAAGGAATACTCGAGGTTAGGCCTTTTCTGGGCCTTGTATAGAGTAAAAAGGTCATGCGGAAGTACTTCTTAGTCCTAGACAAATAGCCTAGCTTTCTCCCAGCAGCCGCTGCTACTGACAAGATCTGTTCGTGCCACATCAACTCCTCGGTGATCTGGACTACGACCAGCCGAAATGAACGGCTGTTTGTCAGAACCCGACCATCCATTGGAAGCGTATGAGCGCTAGGAAGCTTTTTGTTCGTCACGGTACAGTACCGTGTTTTGGAAGCAATACACTGTACAAGATTGTTGCGTCCCCAAGCAGTGATAACCTCCAGGTCTCTCGTCAGAGAGGAAGTCGTCGCTAATCTACTTTTTTCACATTCGAGGTAGTCCAGAAGCTCGCGATGTATGCACCTCTCATCACCTTACTTATAACAGAGAGCAGAGCAATAGACCTGTAGTTGTAAGGGTCGGTTTTAGATCCTTTTTTTGGATGGGTTGGACATGATCAAATTTACAGTTTTCTGGATTCATGAGATAATCTCGAAGAGACGCGAAAGAACTGGAGCAACCTCCGATGCACACCTGTTCAGTACAATCAACTCCGGACCTTCTACTAGGATAAATAAAAATGTCGATGCACTTATTTCTAATATCCATGAGTCTTTTAATGAAGCAAAATCTGCTTTAATAAACAAGATTGATGAACAGTTTGATCAGGATGCCTTAAGAAGGATGCCTGCGGCGGATGCTTCATACGCAAACATTTTGAAGAAGAATGTTAATTTAATTGTTCAGCCAAAAAACAACGGTCAGCCTCATGCAGCGACAAGACTTAAGTTGCGTCAGTCTGTTGATCCGGTAATTAATAGCATTAAATTTTCTCAAGTAAAAAACAAAAAAAATGGGGGATTACTTATAAAATGTGATGGATCTGAAGATGCCAGCAAATTGAAGGAGTTGGCTTCAGTGCACCTTGCTGATGATTATGAAGTTAAGGAACTGAGGAAGTTTAACCCCCGTTTGAAAATTGTAGGAATGTTTGAGTGTACTGACAAAGATCAGCTCAGTGTTACACTGAAGTCTCAGAACCGTGTATTTCAAAATGACAGTGGCTGCAAGTAGATCGGGTTTGTATGTTCTGGGACGCCCTTGAGCGCCGACCTTCGGTGCCAAACGACCTTGAGAGCTGACCTTCGATGCCAACCTTGAAATGTAACATTGAAACGTGACCTTGAGTTTCCGAGTGACCTTGAAGTGTGACCTTGAGTTTTTCGGGTGACCTTGAAGTGTGACCTTGAGTTTCTGAGTGACCTTGAAGGGTGACCTTGAGTTTTTCGAGTGACCTTGAAGTGAGACCTTGATTTTTCGATTCACCTTGAAGGGTGACCTTGAATTTCCTAGTATTCAAAAGCAGAGGAAATAACGCATTTGGCTTTTACAAGTCAGTGACACAACTAACGAACAAATTGTGCATAATTTGCCTCATCATGCTGAGAGGTGCTACTTTATTAGTACTAGTTATGAAGAAAGGTAGGTAGCACTGACCGGTAGCGTATTCTCAGTGTGATTCTCCACGCAGCCATCCAAACGATATCCATGGTCTAGTTTTGATGTGTGCCTCGATAATATTTTTATAGGCAGCACTGTGATCCAAGTGAATTTACTGAAGATCATGCAAATCTGTAGTTAGCCTTAATACAGGGCATACACGTTATGGTAGTTATTATTGAAATGGGTAATAGGAGGGGTCAAAACAAGTCAAAAAGTTCATATGACTCATGATCCAAAAGTCAATAGATTTTTGTCTAAATGGCTTTATAGTTTTACTTTAAGTGCTTTATATCGACCACAATCACCACAATCTTACTAATTTCGATAATCTAATCTAAAACGTTTTTAAATTGGGTAATTAACAAATAAATGGCATTAAGTCTTTCTAAGTTAAGTCAAAATTTTTAGTCAGTAAGTAAGTAAGCTTCATTAAATTAAATTTTTAAAACACACATGACAACAGCTCGTCGGTCTTCCATCACTCTTATCGAACCGGCAATCGATCGCTAACGGTAACAGTGGTTAGTTATTGCTTTGCATAGATAAATTACTTTATCGTTTTGTCGAGCAGAGCATCGGGCGTGTTGTTTTATTTTTGTTCGCGTACGTCGTCGTGTTCATTTACAATGTTATCGACTCAAGAGTTCGCCGACATGTTGTTAGTTTACGGTGTAGCTCGTCAGAATTCAAAATCTTGCAGCTCAAATTTATCGCGACAGATTCCACCAACGGGTACACCCAGACAGAAGGACATTTGTGTACTGTAGAGCACGAGGAACAAATTTTAAATATCGTGGGAATCAATGCAGATATCAGCACTAGGGTCTCCTTTTTGAACACAATCAAAATAACCTCTTGTTACCCTCGTGCCAGGAGGGTGGTTGTAGATGCACTTCCCTGCACGATGAATGTTACTTCTGGGGTTCGAAGTGGTTGCTGATTTGGAGGATTAGGGCACTGGGGGAAATGAAAAGATTGCCAATTTCCAGAGCTTGCCCAAAATCTATTTAACTATTTTTAATAAATCACCTGAAGGGTGCTATTACAAAGTTTGCAACAAACTACCTGAAGGGTGATATGACAGGATTTTCAAGTATTCAAAATGATCACAGTAAGCTCAAAATTACACTTTGCAATGGTTAATCGATCACCTAACAACAAATGAAAACAAACATTAGTGACTTACCAAGTTTCCGGGGGTATGCATACCTCAGGATCACACCAGCTGTGAAGTTAGGATAAATAATTCATATTAAGTGAAATTAGCTGCTTAAGTATATAGTGATGCAGTTCGACGGGGTTTCAGCACATGGCGTCTGTGGACATTGGCAGCAGCTGAATCAACTCCCTTCCTCAGGGGCTGCTTGGAGCTCTCATTACAGGGCAGGGCGTGGAAAAGTCGTCAGGGCTTCATCTGAAGGTATCAGTAGTCGTTTGGTGGAGAAAACGTAAGGTGAAGCAGACGAAAAGTCGGAAGGAGATGAAAAAGGCCTGAAACAAAAATCCAATACGGCGCCGGGTTCCATTTTAACGCAAGCCGAATTGCTTACCTCTGTTGAAGTGTGGCCTAAAAGTGTCGGCTAGAACGCCGTGAAAGCGTCGAAGACTCCCGTCTCCCACATCCCCGTAGGATTATATGAGACATAAAAAGGAAGAACGCTTAGACTTTATTTGGCTTAAAGATCCGCAAAATGCGTGCTTCTCAACAGAGCTACGACCAAAAAGTGAAGTTTCTTCAACTTGGACACGGAACACAAAGTTCGAGAGGAGCAATGGAGCAATGGAACAACAGCGGACTGTTCCCGGACTGAAAGGACCGAACACTTGTCAAAATGTAACATTGAGGTTAGGAAAGGAATGAAGACGTAAACAATTCTCAGATGAAGGGGCCTCAACTACAAAATGATATAATAGGTGGAGAGTTACGTATAAACCATAAAGAAAATCTTCAGGTAGTTAAACTAGAAATATGTCTACCCTTGTTTAGTGTTTACGATTATTGCAGGGTCACGGCAGTTCCTACAAGGTTTGGACAAAGTTTAGGGCTGATCCCACGGACCGTGATACCACCTAGGACTTAAGACTGTGAATCTAGTCTTGGTAACCGCTCACAGTGTACAATTTTCAGCTAATAAATCTTGAATTCTGAGGCAAGAGTATGATTTCAAATTAAACCCGTAACACACCACTATTTCCTGGAGAAAGTTTTTCCTGAAGGGAAAACCTTCACAAAGGAAAAACTTTAGAAAATATTAGTCCCAATAAATTAACCCTTATTTACATAAAAAAATGTACATACGTTAAACTATCATTGATAAAACCATACGGACGCAAGGATTACGGAGAAGCTCTACTTCTCTTCTATAACGGATTCGTCAGGCGGATGTGCTTTCAAATCGTGCGCCGACCATACTCCTTTACTTCTACCCCTTGGATCAGAAAGTTCATAAGTCCAAGGAGAGACAATACGACAGATTTCCTAAGGTCCTTCAAATTTATGGGAGAGTTTTGACGTAATACCTTTTGCAGCGTCCGATAGCACATGGTTGGGCTTCCAAACCTTTTGTCCCACCTTAAAGGTGTCAGGTCGCCGCCGTAAATTATAGCGTTGACTAGAACGTTCGTATGCGAGACGTAATCTTCTGTGAACATCTTTGAATACCTGTCTCAAAGCTTCATGCCGTTTGACGGGCTGGAACTCGCGATTCTCAGCTACGGGGTTTTCCTTCCCTGAGAGGACAATCTCACGGCCGAAGACAACGAAGTTTGGGGTAACTTGAGTTGTTTCATGCTTTGCGGACCTGATTGCTGCAGCTACATGAGGTAGGTATTTATCCCACGATTTCTGGTGATCTGCAACATAAGATGTGAGAGCAGTTTTCAAGGCCCGGTGTACCCGTTCAACTGGGTTCGCTTGAGGATGGTAGTTTGGGAGTATACACATGCGCAATATCATACTTGAGTAATAAGTCCTTGACTTCCTTATTCTTAAAATGAGTCCCATTGTCGGTAATTATCCGGGATGGTGCTCCAAAAGTTAGGAATACTTGTTCTTCCAGAGGCTTAACGATACATCGAGCGGTAGCCTGATGGAGAGGGAATAATAAAACAAATTTCGAGAATACGTCAACTATAGACAAGATGTACTTGTAACCCAGACCAGTTCTTGGAAGTGGTCCTACTAAGTCCATACTTAATATCTGCCAAGGTCGGGAAATGGTAGGAGCAACACTCAACATATGACCTGCTGGTGGACGTTGTTCAGGCTTGGTCTTAAGGCAAGTCGTACATCGACTGATATATTTGGCGATATCTACCTTCATTTTGGGCCAATAAAACCGCGAAAAAACACGTGCGTGTGTTTTGAAAATGCCCAAGTGACCACAAGTCGGAGGGTCATGGTGTCTCTTGATTATAGCAGAACGTTCATGTTTGGGGACAACTTCCCTCCAATAATCATTTTCGTTCGCAAGGTCAGGATATGAAGGTGGCACGCGCTTATATAATCGATTATCTTCGGTTCGCCATAGGGGAAATTTATCAGGACTACTCCTCACATTCGAAAGCATGTTCATATACCAAATGTCGGATATGTCTGGTGTATTTGCAGATACTGCATCCAATACCGGCACCGACCTGGATAAGGCATCTGGCACGACATGGTCCTTTCCTTTCCTGTGTACCACATCAAAATCATATGCCTGGAGACGAAGGCACCATCTGGCAATTCGGCCAACAGGATCTTTGATGTGAAAACGCCACTTCAAACTCCAGTGGTCAGTTACCACTGTAAATCGCGTTCCCTCTAAATAAGGTCTCAACTTTTCCACAGCAAAGAGTACAGCAAGGCACTCTTTCTCCGTGACGCTATATTTCCGTTCTGCCTTTATCTGTGAACGACTCAAATAACATATGACATTCTCGCTATTACCTTCCCTTTGCAATAGCACGGCTCCGAGGCCAAAATCAGAGGCATCTGTCTCTAGGATAAATGGTAGCGAAAAGTCTGGACAAGAGAGAATCAGAGCAGACACTAGTACCTGTTTCAGTATGTCCAGTGCATCATCACACTTACTGTCCCAACAGAAAGGTTGGTTCTTTCGGGTCAGGTTCGTTAAGAGGGCTACGACGGATGAGAAGGATGGAACGAATCTCCGGTACCACGATGCAAGTCCTACGATGTGTCGGACCTCCGACGCATTCTTGGCTGGCTTTATCTGTAGAATAGCCTGGACCTTTTCTGGGTCTACTAACAAACCTGTTTGATTTACCACATAACCCAAATATCTTAACTCTCGTCTGCAGAATTTGCTTTTATTCCTGTTTAGCGTCAGCCCTGCATCCACTATGCGTTTAAGTACCTGTCCAAGTACTTTTGGGTGTTCCTCAAAGGTGGGCGTACAAATGATTATGTCGTCGAAGTAAACGAAAGTATGACTGTCTAGCTCAGGTCCCAGAACTCGGTCTATTAATCATTGCCAGGTGGCAGGTGCGGAATGTAGGCCAAACGGCATACGGGTGAATTGAAACAGTCCCCGATTTGGCACCGTAAATGCGGTGAGGGGTTTTGACTCTTCAGACAACTTAATCTGGTGGAAGGCGCTTTTGATGTCTAAGCTAGAGATGTACTTTGCATCCCTAAGTTTATCCAAGATGGAATTGACGAAAGGTAGCGGGTACGCGTCTGGAGTACTGACGGCATTCAGGCGTTTATAATTAACGCAGAAACGCCATGTATTGTCTTCCTTCGGCACCATGACTATGGGCGAGGACCACGGACTACAAGAAGGCTCTACAATGCCTTTCTTCAACATGTCATCCAGCTCTGAATTCACTACCTTTTGGAGGGCAGGAGATAAGGGGTAATACCTTTGTTTAATGGGAAGAGACGTGGTCTTTATCACATGCTCCACCAAGTGAGCA